CTCTCTCTCTCTCTCTCTCTCTCTCTCTCTCTCTCTCTCTCTCTCTCTCTCTCTCTCTCTCTCTCTCTCTCTCTCTCTCACGAGAATGAATCTTCGTTTCATTTTGATTTTTTTGTCTTTTTCTCGCAGAACGTTGCATGTTTTTTTTTTTTTGTTTTTTTTTTTTTTTTCCGTTATGTACTACCGGTTGTCCGAGGCTCGGCAATGACCGGGCTACCGGTAGCCTGAGCCACGGACCTTGACAACCGGTAGGTACTGGTCGTTTAAGCAACTAGCGAGATCTAGCCACCCCGGGGCTCATTCGACACTCCTCGGGGCATCCTCGGGCCCCGAGGACGATTCCTTGGAGTCGCCGGAGGAAAATCCCTCCTTCGTTCCACTCATCCTCAGAAATGTTCCCCGAGGACGAGTCCTCGGGGCGTCCCGCGGCCAGTTTCATATATCTTTGTGATGCGGGATGGTGGTGTGTGGCAGGACGATGCTGCGTCGAATCGCAGGAGGCTGCACACCCCACGCCACCGCCACAAGATACAGTCGCGCTTCCTGCATCAGCTTGACAATGACGTTTCCCTCCGTCTCTTTCCAGAAACGAATGTCGTCCACCCACAGTTTGGACGCCGCGTCGATCCCTTCACGCGCGCTCTGCTGGCGCACCCTGTTCGCCAGCGCTTCATCGTCCTCCCCGACTCCAGCGACGGCGCCTGCCCTGCTCCCTTCGCCTTCGCCAGCATTCCCCCCACCTGCCCTGGCTCCTTCCACCGCATGCGAAGCCTCCACAGTTGCGGCCCCGACTGACCTCCCCCCTTCAGCAGCCTGGGATGCACCACCCGCCGTTGCGGCGCCTGCCTTTGCCACTTCTGCAGCGCGCGCCGCAACCACCGTCGACGACCCGCGCTCGTCATGCGCAGGAGATCGGCTGGCGATCCCCTGACCAATGCCTTGTGCGGCGACGCCGACTTCTGTGGCCGTCGTTTGTCGCGGGGTTGATGACGTTCCCCCGCGTACAAACACCTCTTGCGCGGTCGGGGGTTCGTTGACACGTGGCAAAGGCGCACGGTTCTGCTGCGTGGCGGCACTCCCCCCGCCTTGGCCCATCGCCGGACGAGTGGCGACATTGACGTCGTGTTCATTTGCCCCGCGACCACCTGCGCTACGGCTCTCGCCGACGTCATCGATTCGAAGGGCTCCAGTCTGCCTTCTGGAGGACTTGTGCTTCATTGGGATTTCCTCCGATTCGGCGAAGTCGCTTTCGACGTGTGAATCGTCCCCCTCCACCACCTAGTCTTCCGCGTCTGCGTGTATTGCCATCGCAGAGGCTCCTTGGACGAGTTTTCTCTGTTAGTTCGCCACATGGCGGCCCCTTTTATCCCGAAGAACGTGTCGACCGCCTGTTTCCCGGCAGACCTCCCGCGTCCAGAACCTTGGGACGCCATGGCGCGCGACACACCCTCCACGACACAAAAGGATGGTGGGTGGAGTGACGGCCCGTATCACCGCCAAGAAGAGCGGCGATGATGGGGGAATAGAGCACGGCGTCGAAGTCCTTCGACAGCGTGACAGCGCAGATGGTGACGAAGGCGACAAGGTTCGCGTGAGGGACGTCGGTGTCGAAGACGCAGACGATGACGGCAAAAAAGGCGACATGGCGCACAGGAAGACGTTGGCGCAGTCCGAAGACGGCGTGGAAGGGGAAGGGACGTTTGTGTTGAAGACGAACACGATGACAGCGAAAAAGGCGACGAAGGCGCACAGGAAGACATTGGCGCAGTCCGAAGACGGCGTGGAAGGAGAAGGCTGGATCGACTGCGGGGGCGGAAAGTAAGGCGGCGAAGACAGCGTGGAAGGCGACATATGTGAGGGCGTTCGCAACGAGTGGGAAGACGAAGGCGAGAAAGGATTCAACAGCGGGGACGAATATGATGGCGACGTGGCGAGAAGGAAGCGAGTGAAGAAGGCGACAGGGCGAGTACTGAGTGGCCCGCGTGGTCACTGCGATGTTTGCTGTTGCGTTCTTGGGTCCGCTAGCTTATAAAAACATGTCCCCAGGGTGGTGGAGGGCGACGACTGGACACCCTTCACGACTGCAAAACGACGACTCTGTCCCCCAACGTTCTGAATCATTCTACCACGGGCCTTGTCTCGGGCGCGGAAACGAAAGGCCAAATGTTGCGGGGCACAATATTAGGGGACGTCAAACACGCTGCACATATCGTGGCCACCCTTCGTCAATCGCGCCTACAAAGGAGCCCCTCGCCCAGAAAACAGCCCCCAAAGCAGTCGCCATCAACGGCCACCCAACCTCCCGCCTGGCATCTTAGCTACCAGGAGGATTGAGCACTCGCGGGAGACTCACTTGCCCTCCACCCCTCATAACCCGCCCTCGCCTCAAACGATTCGACCGCCAACCACCGCCCATGGAACAAAAAAAAAAAAAAAGGAGGGCGGAGAGTGTTTGCGGGTTGGTGAATGGTGGGGGACTTGTGGACAGCCGCTTTCGTCCCGGCGACGTCCCCCTACCGCCGCCCGGAAGTTTGGCAACCGCGAACACACCCCCAGTTGGATAACATCACAAAACAGGATACCAGCAAACATCCGCATTTGCAAGTCTCCAACTACCATGAATGGACATCCGCATTCAGACGACAAGTTCCAATCTCCAAGGGATCATATCATGCACATCAACGACTTTTTTTGCCTGTTCACGGCATCAACAACAGCACTCCAGAATTGGACGGCATTCAAGACAAAACCTTTATCTACTTCTGGTACACCTCTCGATCACTACCGCAAGAGAGTGACTGCCACGACACACACAC